GTTGAATGTAATATCTCTATAACTACCTTAAAGCAGAAACAAAAGAAAAGAGGATAGGAAAGAGAAGAGGAAAGAAATATCACTTGCAGCTTTCACAGCACATTTATTCCAATCAGTGAACCAGAACTCTTATAACCAACACAGATTAAAATCAGCATTAATTCAAATCCCTGAATCTACCTGTCTCTCTCGCAGAGCGCAGTACCTCATTAATGCATCAAAAGAAAAGGAACAAATTATTTCAGTTTACTGAAATAATCTGTTCCATCTCCGTAACATGGGAAGAAATTAATTTACATGCAAGTCTTTAACTGTGTTTATTCCCCTCACCATCAACAACAAATCCTGTAGATTTGGTCATATTTACTCTTTTTTTGCAAAAATTAAAGGAGGGGAACAAATTATTTCAGTTTACTGAAATAATCTGTTCCTCCTCTATAACATGGGAAGAATTTCATTTACCTGCAAGTCTTTAACTGTGTTTATTCCTCTCACCACCACCAACAAATCCTGTGAATTTGGTCATATTTACTCTTTATTTGCAAAAATTAAAGGAGGGGAACCATATATTTCAGCTGCCTGAAATAATCTTCCATAATATGGGAAGAATAAATGTACCAGAAAGTCTTTAACTGTGCTTATTCCTCTCACCATCAACAACAAATCCTGTGGATTTGGTCATATTTACTCTTCATTTGCCATAATTAAAAGAGGGGAACCATATATTTCAGCTGTTTTAGCTGCCTGATTTAATCCATTCTCCCAATAACATGGGGAAAAAATTACCAGCAAGTCTTTAACTTTGATTCAAAAACATTTGCTCTTCATTTCACAAATGCAATAGGCCTAGAATTTAAATCTTTCCATAACTATGTTAAATTAAATTCTTGGAAGAATAAATATCCAACATAGTTTTAAAATGTCATTTATGAAGCATTAAACAACATACATAAACCAGCACACCACAGCAAACTCAGGAAGCTAAGGCGAACACGCAAAGCAGTAAAAGTTTTGTTCAGTTGGTGGGCTTCCCACACACGCTTGATGGAACCACTAGGCACATGTCACACTGGATCTAGGAAAGAAATAAAAAATTTAAGGTTTTATTTTAAAAATATGTCTTTGCGATTACACTACGCAATCAATAATTTCAGATTCCCTTATATTCCAATTGCTGGAGGATCCTATCAAAGCTTGATTATGCAAGATACAATTCGATAAAACTTGTCCTCTTCATTTAACTTACACTAAAAACGTTTAAAAAATTCTAAAAAAGTTCTTACCCAGTTTCCATCTCTCCACAGAAGTGGCACAAGTCTTTTAGGTCATCTGGTAATAACAACATTATAAAAACATACACACACACAAACAAACACATGATTATCCCAGTACAAGCAATGTCCATAAATAAATGTTTTCAGAGTCCATGTTAATGTATTAATTTTGGGCTAAGTATAGATGTTTCAGTGAAACATACAAATAATAGTAACCGTGATAGCAATTGTCATTAACACTCAAAATAAGAATATGAATGTTATCCTCACCACTGTTAAGGATAAGTCTCACAAAAATTTCAAACCTCATGCTGTAGACTGCCTCAGTGGAAACAGGAAAATCCACAACCTCTTTTGCTAGGATCATTTCTGCGAACTGAGAGGTACAGCTTCATTTAATGGATTTAAATTGAATTAACAAAGAAAGTATTTCCTGTGCATGTCTCAAAATATATATAAAAATCCTGAAGTCATACACTGTGTAACAATATGTATGCACCTTCAGTGCAAATGCACCACATGATGTGCTATCCTGTTGTTTTGGATGCTTGACAGTGTCACATGTCCAACGTGAGACATTGCACCCCTTCTTCCTCATAAATACCCTGTAAGTATAGATATATTAAGAACAATTTGATATTACTTTCATACTTCAGTAAAAAGTAAATTTTTAACCTTACCTTGTGATTTGCAAGCATTTCTCGATTTCTTGTTTTGATTCCCCCAGTGGATCCAAGAACAAAGACATTTTTTCTTGTGGATAGATCACCTACAAAGTGCATTTGACATTATTTATGTGGTTTTTGTTTATGAGATATCTATGCTAATTAATGTTTTTAAAGTTAAAAAAAAAATAACATTTATTACCACTAAAGTCCAGTGGTGGTGTTGATTGTTTATTCCCATAATTATTACATAATTCATTGGGTCCATCTGTGAATTATAAAAAATGGATTAAATATTTTTCACGTTGGACAATCCAGGACACGTATGAGGCCTCCACCTGCATCGCAGTCATCTTCTCACCTAGTAGAGCCAGTCTTCATGATATGGGACATCAGTAGTACCGGTCTGTAGTCCTGAGGGTCGCTAGGACGCAATGTCTTTGGCACAGGAACAAGGCAGGACGTCTTCCACAGCACAGGGACTCTCTGGAGGTGCATGCTCAGACTGAAGACTAGGCTAAGTATTCCACACAGCTGGTTGGAACAAGCTTTGAGCACCTAGGGGAGTACACCATCGGGGCCCGCAGCTTTGCCGGAGTGGAGTCTGGTTAGCTGTCTTCTCACATGGTCAGGAGTGAAGGACACTGTAGGGATAACTGTAGGGGGAGGGGTGAGGTCCTCATGTTGTGGAGGACATGATGTAAAGCAGGGGGGAGGGGTGGAGTCTGTGGATGTGGTCGTTGAAGGGAAGCCAGCAGTGGAGGGTTGTGGGGGATGGGCCGCAGTATCAAACCTATTGAAAAATAAGTTCAGTTCATTGGCCTGGGCCACGCACCCTTCCAACCCCACACCAGTGGACTTCTGGAACCCTGGGATGGTTTTCATCTCACTCCACACATCCCTCATGTTGTTTGTAATGAGTTTATTCTCCAGCTTTCTCCTGTATTTGTCCTTAGCCTCCTTGATTTTTCGTTTGAGTACCCCCTGCACTCACCTCACCTCCTCACAGTTGCCATCTCTGAACGCTCTCTTCTTCTCATTCAGGATGGCCTTTATTTTCTTGGTGATCCAAGGTTTGTTGTTGGCGTAACAGGTGACAGTCTGAGCTGGAACATTGCAGTACACACAGAAGTTTATATAATCCGTGATGCACTCTGTGAGCCCATCAATGTCCTCCCCGTGGGGCTCACAGAGTGCAGGCCAGTCAGTCACCTCAAAGCAGGCCTGTAGTGCCTCACAAGCCTCCACCGACCACCTCCTCACAGTTCTTGTGGTCGTTGGCTTTCTCCTCACCATAGGCACATAGCAGGCTTTGAGACGAACCAGGTTGTGATCTGACCTGCCCAGAGGGGGAAGAGAAGAGGAAATGTATGCATCTTAAATGTTAGCATACATTAGGTCCAGGGTCCTCTCATCTCTGGTCGGGCAGCTCACATATTGTTTGAAGGCCGGGAGAACTTTGCTCATGGTGACATGGTTAAAGTCTCCAGACATGATAATGAGGGCATTAGGATGTAGGGTCTGTAGTTCAGAGATGATATTATGAATGATGCTGCAGGCAGATGTTGGATTTGCAGAAGGAGGGATGTACAGAACAACAGCGATGACATGCGGGATCTCTCTGGGCAGCTGATATGGACGGAGTCCAACGGCCAGCAGTTCAACATCCGGGCAACAGAGCTGTTTTTTAATGGTGATGTAACACCATCTGCTGTTTACTAGAATGGCAAGCCCCCCTCCTTTTCGCTTACCACTCTTGGTGTCCCGGTCGGCCCGGACATTATAAAGCCATCCACGAAGACAATCAGGTCCGTAATGTCTTTGTGCAGCCATGTCTCCGTAAAACACATCAGACTGCACTCCTGGTACTCCGGTTGGCTCCGCGTTAGCGCCGTTAGCTCGTCCATCTTGTTGCTAAGAGACTGCACGTTTCCCATAACGACAGAGGGGAGACACTGCTTAAATCTTCTCCTTTCAATAAGTCTGTCCCGTCTCGACCCTCCTTTCATCCCACGATGTTGCTTTCCTCGTGTTTTCCTCCAGAGTTCGGATGGTATTCCAGCTGGTCTGGCTACAACGCCGGCCGGCAGTAGAGCGATCAGCTGTTCTCTGAAGTAGACAAATCATGCCGCTCCCACCCAACAACACAAAAAAGCACAGAAGCTCTCTGAAAAATACCTCATTGTAGAGGATAATACTTCACGGAGTCATTGTGAAAAAACAAGAGCAATCAAAAAAAGATAAATATAAGAAAGTTAAAGGTACACTATGCAACCGGTGTTGATTTTCCAGCGAGGCTCCCCCCAGAGGGCGAAAGTAAAAGTGCACTGTCGTAAATATGCACAACTGTTCTCCTGGTTTCTCCGTCAAGCCAGGCG